CAGTTTCATTCGAGATATGGCTAGAGGGTTAGATGAATCTGGAAAAAATAAATCATTTTTGAAAAGTTGAAAAATTTGTAATTTTTGCTCAATATAAGTTGGCTCTGAAAGGGTTAAGTGCTTAATGGGGTTTTGTAGAGGAAAGAAAGCTGTATCCCCAACCATAGGATTAACCATCACGGAAAGTTGAATCGCATCATATATTTCAAAAACACTATACAGTGACCCTCTCCTCTGTGGACAAGTATCGGGTCTTCCGAAACTCTCCCATTTCTACTAGGACAATTTCAATAAAATGCTATACCAATTGTGGAAACCTATGCAGAAAAATGCGGTCGTTCACGCTGGTTATGTCAAAAAAATTTCGGAGCGGCGGCAGATTTGCCGTTCGATCCGGCGGTGTTCTCTTCTTTTTCGAAAAAATAATCCGGTCCCAAAAGGGTTAAAACAAGAAGAGAATGTTGAATATAAATTACAAAAGATTTTTTTTTCTCGTACAAAAGTTTCGTAATGTATCGTATGTCTGCGTTATTTTGTTATTAAAACAAGAATCGATAATTGTAAATGAATTTCCAACGGTAAATTCGACATGTTTACGTATCGATGAGCGAATTTGTTGAAATGTTGTTGGTATGATATAGACAAACGACTTATGTATCAATAACACGATGTAATCGATGACACTTAACAACCATACCACAATAAGATGTGGAGTTCTTGCTAAGGATATATTGTTTGACTGACGAGGATGTAATGAACGTATATCATAAACACGTAAACAAACATTGTACAGAAATTTGATTACATACCATGGTACATAGAATATTTTCAAGAATGTAATAAAACCAAATTTCATACTGTGATAGAAAAATGTAACAGGATTGTCTGAATTCATAAATTCACGTAAATTTATATTTCGTTGTTTTATAGCTGTATATTCAACCATAATCGGCTCTTGTGTACCACTAGTAGTTGTCATAGTTGGTGGCGTTACTGCAGTATTCAACGCGCTCAACATTGTATAACGTCGTTTCAATGGTCCAGGATGAGGTGTATAAGGTTGATGTTGAAGGTTTGTCTTAGTATTTTGAACCAGTGGTGGTTTTTTTGACCGATCATCCATAGAAAATATATTTGATAAATTTTATACACGAGAACAGCTTCAAAACAAAGAAACACCTATAAGTTAAAAAGAGTACAACGCAAGAATTTCTTTTAGCGTCACACTCAATCAATATTCGAGGATCGAAAATTATATATTTACCACTATAGCGTAATTTAACTCACTACATGAACAATTCTATAAAGTTGGCCTGTTGTCGAACGGTGATATGAATAAATAAAGTTATTCACATAACATCAGAAAAATTACTTTCATGAGGTTTGATGACTTTATCGCTACTTGAAATAAAAACAATCAAATTCTCCGATAAAATGTTTGACTATTCCGAAGTTTCTCGGCTTTTTCATCTAACTTTTGACTCTTGTATTTCATAATAAAACAGACAATACAGATTTGTAAAAATGAACAGCGAATCTCTTAAAACAAAATTTAAAATTTCTAGGTTAAAATATATGTCAAAAAACGTTTGCCATGCTTTGGATTGAGCAGGGATGTGGCGACCACGGGGTGCGGGGGGGTGCGCACCCTCCCACTTTTTTTTGAAAGAAGCGAAAATATGGAAAATTAGAACAACTATTCGATAATATTATAACATTATAAACTAAAATACGAATAAATGATCTTTCTGTAGATT